TATGGTCTTTTTGTGCATTAATTAGTTTTATCGCATTTATCGATAGATAGGACTGAATGTAAAGTTTGAAAGCATTAATGTATTGAGCATTAAATCTATGTTTGGCGTCCATTCATTCAAATCGACCCAAAAATATTGGATTCTTTCTAATGAATATAAGTCGATATATAGAGAATTGAATGATTGAATGGACAGTAAGTAGAGTCAGCACTAAATACAAAAAACATCCAATTTTTAGTCTATATATCAATTGATGTCTATTTACATACAGTTTGCCATAAAATCGTTTCTAATATAAAATATAAGACTTGTGTTGTATATATACATCCAGTCTCTCAGCCTCTAATCAATAATCACTAAACATATTACGAGTTCTCTTCAGTCCGGTTACCATCAGTTCCGGAGAAACACTGAGTTTTACATGAATTTAGTCGACGTGAAGTTGGTTCGCTATATTCGATGAATGTATGAGTATATCAAGTGTTTGTTAGTCTCGTATTCACAGTAAAGTCCTTTTCAATTGTTGTAAATATAATATGAGAATTGGAATTAAATAATTGATTAAACACTGGAAGTGGAAGTTATGAGTTTTGGCTGAATTGCAGGCATCACTTTCACAGAAACACATGTGTCCTATTGGTAGAGACCAAACATATGAGATAATGGGGCCAAGGTGCCCGATGTGATCATGTAGTCAAGCATACCGTGGCCATCGGACTCCTCCATACACACGTGATCCACCATAAAAAGATTGATTTGGATTTTAGAAGTACACGTCCGCCTCACCGACTGATAAGCTATCGATTAAGTAATGCATACAATCTTTTATTCAATTTGTGCTAAAATGCAAACTTTTGTTTAGAATTTCGACTTCTAATGGATTTTATGCTTAAAAATTTAATGCATTCACTTTCAGGCGGCAATCGATGCAAGAATTTTTGTGAAACGTTAGACTATACTATACTAGTAACATATCATACAAAAAACTATTTGTGGCCAAACATTCATGTCTTACAATGAAATGAATAATTGATTTCTAATTAAGTGCTTCACTGATTCATAGCCCGGTTATGGCCTGTGCTCGAGATATGTGATGGGTTTGGGGCACAGGTACTGTAATTCGTTTGCACACACTATGTATTACTTGTACAGTACTATTATATCACATCTCATTAGTCTTTCAGCGATTTTTTCACTGAATTAAAACTAATGAGATTTGAAAACAGTTTTGATCTCTCGTTTTGTTTAATGATAACTTTAATGCATTCAAAATATAAATATAGAAATTAATTTCCAGTTTATTATAGCATCAATTGCACACTGTTTGCACATTTCAAGGCGTGCCGTCACTTATTATAACAAATATTAATAGAAATCATATAATGAATTATAAGATTTATAAATAATTATCTCAATTTACAAGTAATAATCATTAAATATCATTAATTCATTCAATTCTTCATTCATTCAATTATTTATCCTTCAGTTCTATAACTAAAAACATAATTAAATCATTGATTCCGTATTTCATGTTTACACGTATTCTGTACACAATGTATGAAATGGTATTTTTACAAATTTATTAAATCTATTTATAGCAAACTATTAAATCAAAAGCAAAATGTTTCCAAAATCTAAAATTTCAAAAGACATACAAAGTGATGAAAGTATTAATTATAGGGTTCATGCAAATAATGTTAACAAATACAGTATCAGTCATGCAATGCATTTACAGTTATAATTCATTTATGAATATTTGATTGAGAATTGATAAAAAATAGAATATATGATATAATGGTTGTGGACATCAACTCACGAGTGTCTCTATTCATCACTATTTTAACACAACATCCGTCACATAAAGACAAGAGATTTTGGTCGACGGATACGTTGAACGGATCAGCGCATCGGTTATCACTCCAAGACTGACATTCATAACACCAAACACGAGATTCTAAGAGAATTCACATACGGTTTGATCGCTTCGTATGAAACAAGGGATCAAATGACAAACAAAACCATTACTCACTCAGACATTCCTCCTCAGCATTGGTTCCGATGATACATACAGTTAATATGGATATTAATGCCAGAGCTATAGAGTCCATACAAATGCCGTTCATATTAAATATTTTGAACAAACAATTCAATTAATTGTAATGTAATATAATTCACTCCATTATTGTATTCATATATTGAATGCAATCAAAGCACACTTAATATGATGTGAATTCTGTTGTAATGCTAATGAATTGTCCACTAAATGAAACAAATAAATCAAAATACAAATGATATGTTTGCAGAATAATTGCAATGAATTGCAGTCAATATAATGTGAATTGCAATTGAAAACTATTCTGTGTCTATGATTGAGTGAATAGTATGTATTGAATGGATACTAATTAATAGATTTGGTAAACATATGATTGCATATAATCTCATAGAGAATATACTCGGAGTGTAAGTCAAGTCACGAATATGTGTTATAATTATTACACATTTTTTAGCATTTTTTCAAAGCATTGGATATAAATAGATGTTTCAATTAAATTCAAATTATAGCCAAAAATATCTAAACATAACCTCTAAATGTATTCATAAATAAATTTTGTAAACTTTTCAGTGGATTCTTACAAAATATATTGAAGTCATTCGTCATGTTATTAATGAGAGACAAAAAATATGTATAAAATTCTTATCAAACAATTCAAACAATTATCTCATTTTAGTCTACATTTGTTGAAAGAGTTGACAATTTGTGTAATAAAAGTGTGCGAAAGACTTAACACATTATTATTATTATACACGATAACAGTATATGAGATATGTTTGCAAAACATCACACAAAATGAATATTCTTTGCAAACACCAGAATATCACTCACAGAATATCACGGCTATGGCTATGGCTTCACACACACTGCCATCCAATACATGCAATCCTATGCACCCAAGCATTGACACTATGAATGGCATCACTGGCGCCATCTCTCGCATCCACATCACCATCACTTGCACCCAACCATACACCACATCCCGTGTATAATGAACGGGCAGCCCATACCCTATATCACAATCAATGCATTCAAATATTAAACAACACATAATTTAACTTTCATTTCAATCACACTGAAAGTGAACTGCGATTCCGTGGCATTGGTTGTAGTGATGGTGTGAATGATGTGAACCTAAGTGTCATATACTGTAGAAGTGATGAAAGCATTGCATAAATGAATAAAAAGAAAGCGGTTTTCGGAAAGCGTTTGGTTTGGGTAGAGATGTTTGCCGTTGTAATCGAGACATTTATTTGATTTGTTTGAATGCATTGCCGGTTAAGAGCCCTAACAGAGAGTGCAATGCATTGGGAATGAGTGGTCGACTACATGAGTGATACTTTCGGACACATTGTGTTCAAAAGTGATTGAATTTGATGTATGAGTCGATGAACGCATTGTTTATGATTAGAAATATATTGTGACATAAATGCCATTCGTATGACACTGTGAACGGACACCATATGAGGTGTTTGCATGGTTTGCAGGGAAGGTATGGTTCAGTGGTGGTCGGTGTGAAGCAGTGCTCTGTACTCGGAGTGTGAGTCCTATACTGTATTGCAGTATTCAATTGAATGCATAGAGAATTGCATAGCATTTGAAAACATATCAAAAACTATTACGACATTCAATACAATCACTGATTGAATGCTAAACACAATAACAATAATAACAACAAATTTAGTGCTCATTTGCGTTGACTTTTGGATTGCATATCATTAGCCAAACCTCGCAGTGATTTGTGGCCATAATTGGCGAGTGATATGAAGAAGTGGTGAATCGGTTGACACAAAGACATGAACGCAGACAACGATAAGCCGTTTGAGTGCAGGGAAAGGGGATGTGCTATGGTATGAATGGTTAACCATTTGGATTGATTGGACAATACATTGATGTCTGATATCGTTGAGCAGAAGTTCTCAAACGTGGATCACCTGACAGTTCACCAGAAGAGGCACGAAATGAAGCTGAAGTTCTCGTTGTCGTCGGCGTCGGTGGCCATCGCCGACCAAACGCCCACTCCGTCCAGGATTTTGGGCAACTTTCTGCAGAACTGGGAAGCGGTTGGACTCAACTCAGAGATACAGGAGATCACGAATTTGACGCCAATTCTGAACGACACGAATCACACGAAGACCGCCGATGACAACAACAAAGACAACACCAATACCTGTAACTCGAAATCGAGTTCAGCTGACAATCCATTCGCGCAGTCCTTTCAAAAGGCACTCAAAGACAACAATAACTTAAATATTCCCGAAATATCGCGGATTATGACGACCTCGACGTCCGACTCACCCCTCAATACGCCGTCGATATTCCCGAACGAAGGGCTGATGGCTATCGTGAACGCAGCCCTCAATACACCCGACCATGACTTCCATTTCACAAACACAGACAAAGTGGACACCAGTTCCGCAGATTCAGTGGTCAGTGAAGTGATGGCCGGTTGCGAGCAAACAAAGACATTGCGTGTCGACCCTAAGAATGCCGTTAAGGGTCAGCGCTTCCAAGCGGTTCCAGTGATCCGAACGGCAAACACTAATAACAATATAACGATCACGTCTTCGGTACCAAATATCGTTATCTCTCAACCGAACCATAAAATCATTAAAACCCTAAACACAACAAAACTACGGACTGTTCCGATGGCACAGACGACCTCTAAAACGACTGCAATAATTGCCCCCAAAATCAAAGAGTCTTCGCTTACGATCGCAAACAATAATAACTCTCTCTATAAAGTGATTCTTAAGCTCCCGGACGGCCGATCAGTTCAGTTGCCTTTAATCCAAACGCCAATCACTCAGACATCACTTCAGCCCACAGTCACCGACAAAACCAATGATTTGAATGCCATCACAAACCACGAGTCGTTGACCATCGGAGCGATCACTTCCAGCTCTAGTCACGCAAATCAAAGCAATGCTCTGTCGAGCCTTCAGAGCAAAGTTGACGCCACTCTGGCATCGCTGCCACCGAAGGCTAAACCCGGCCGTAAGAGTAAGTTCGCGCCCGAAGAGGACCCCAAAGAGAAGAAGGCCCGCTCTCTCGAGCGCAACAGAGCCGCAGCCATGAGGTGTCGACTCAAACGCAAACATTGGATCGATTCGCTCGAAGAGAAGGCCGACGAGTACGAGAAGATCAACGAAAAGCTTCAAGTAATCCATTAATTGGTTATTTTCTTTGATTGTCTTATATATTAATGTGTTATTTGTGCCCAAAATAGAGCGAAGTCGTGGCCCTCAGACGAGAAGTGACTCTCTTGAAGACCGCACTTCTCGCTCATAAGGACTGTCCGGTCACTCAACAGCAACAGCAGCAAAAAGTGACAAATGGTTCGTTGGTTTCGTAATATCTTTGAATAACATTTCAATTATAAAACTGAATATTTGTTTCTAGAAATCATAACAATTACCGCAAATGGAAGTATTCACAAATTAGACCACAATATACACACGAATGGCTTAACGTGACCTTAAATTTAGTGACAATTCATACATCGCTATAAAACACACAAGACAACAGTTCAAACCATTGGTTCATAACATTGTAATTGAGTTTAAGTTGAAATCATTGAATGTTTACAGTTTGTAAACAAATAATTGTGACAAAAGTGTTGACACTTTCCTCTTGTCTCCCTCTCAAAATGATATTCAAATAATTGTAATTCATTTAGTAATCATTTACTCATTGTTTGCATTCATATTTTATTCATTTACCAAATCATGATTATATAACTACTAATTTTATTTACATTTAATATTTGAGAAACTTTTTCAAATAAGTGTACATTTTTTATTCGTTTGAATACTAATCCAATGCTGAATCGAGACATCGATTGCGACAACAAAATCATTGAATGTTTGGCTAAGATTTTATTTAATTGAGTTTCAAATTAAAAGTCTTGAATATTTAATACATTTGAAATATATAGTCATTTATTTCATTTTAATTGTAATTTCATTTTATTTATATTTTCGTTGTATTATAATTACAAACAACAGTTACTACTTAAATGACTAATACTTTAAAACAAATAGTATTTCAATACAAATAACATCTAACTGTAAGTGAAATTTGAATCAAATTCCGTAAGAATTGGCAAAAATATAATCAAAATTAAAGGCTAAATGTAATCGTAAGTTGAGGTCAAAGGTTAGCCGTCTATTCATTCTTATAGGGCGGCGGTAGGACTAAGTCGATGACACCGGACGAGTAGATGTAATTAACAATTCTATAGAATAATACTGTAATAACTGTTAACAGTATTCGCGATCTTATTATAAAATCTCAATTTTAAGACAAAATAATTATTTCGGACTAAAAACCCATTAAAAATAGAAAACAGATTACAAATCAGTGAATTTATATTTCTATGCAAAACATGAATTAATGTTTGAATTCTAACACATCTACTAATTATAATACATAAACAATTCATGTGAACAAAAGATTATTAATTGTATAGAGACTGATGAAATAAGTTAATGTTATTTATATTTATTTAATTATTAACTTATGTAACTTATATAATATATTAATCTTATCGATAGGACACACAACAAAACAATTTAAATAAAAACCATTTATTTAATGAAATAAAAAAATGAAAAGTTGTTTATGAATAAAGTTTGCGAAAAGTTGATAATTAGTGCCATTTATTGTCAACAGATTAGGATATTATGTCATAACTGGTTAATACATAAGCTAACAGTAAGAGTATGAGTGCCGCAAATATAATTAAATAAATATTTGTTGACACAAATTGAGTACATTTGATGAGAAAACATGAAACAAATTACTTGTTTGCGAATGAATAATAAATTTGCAAAAAATTTTGACCCCAACTGAAAGAATAATGAGTTTAACAGATATTTGAGATTCAGTTTGCTGTAAGTATAGCCTGTATTCTGTAGACACAAACACTACCGTAAGACTGACTGAAGGTCTGACCAAAAAGTGCAACAAATAAATGCTTTTCTCATTTTGAGCCACAAGTGTATGGAGTGTGCGGTCATTGTCTTATAGTTAGGAAAGTTGTTTCACTCAGTGCTTGTAATTTTATACTCATTATTATTAAAGTTATTGTAATTGAATCCAATG